ATTATAATTATTATTATTGTTATTATTATTAATATTAAGAGAATGATCCTTCCAAAAAATGTTGTTCGGTTGGATAAAATTCATTTAAGACTAGGTTCCCACTATATTTTGCTGCGGAGCTCGCAAGTCTCTATATGTGGCCTTGCCATCATGGTCTATATCCGACAGCGTTCTCATTTTGATTTCTCTTCCAGGCATATTTTTGATTGCTTATCAATGTTTATTCAAACTCTTTCCCTTGCAACAAGAGCATTCATTCACGTCGTAGAAACGCAGTAGGAGCCGCATAGTGCGCTAAAATGCTCCCGATTCGTAAATAGACTGTAGTACGAAAATGTCATGTGTTGATCACCAATATTTGGAAGGTTCCCTTCATTATATGAATGCACGTAATCGTGCACTTTTGTGCGTGTATATCTAATTAGAACCAAAACTGTTTCTGATCGTAGGCGAGGGAGTAGGATCTTTCTGCTCTGATCAGGTGATCCCAATGGTGATTTTCGCTTTTCCCCCACAGTACGAAGCGTTTCCTGTTTTTACAATGATGATGATTATTTTGACTGCAATAATCGTCATTTCTAAATGTCAGCGACGGAGGAGGTTTATGTCCTTCCCTTTCCATCGATTGCTCTGATCAGTAGTTTCCCGTGGTTTCTCCGATCAACACCAGGTAAATGCCTGCGCAGTACCCACAAACGGGCCACGGACCGCGTGCGATCTCACCTTCCTCTTCGTTGTCCTATCTTCACCCCTTATACCCGTATACACTCACATGCACTACACACTACCACACATGTCGGGAGACCTGTATGAAGCCGATATTTTGCCCTTCCTTTACAGGGTTTTCGAACACGAAACTTTCGTATTTACACGCTCTAAGGCCCTACTCCACCAACGCCGATATTTAGAAAAAAATGTTGTACAAGGGAAATAATTCGCAGCTTCATGATGCAGTTATGCAAGTGCTGTGAATTGGTTGATCACTTTCTTGGGAAAAAGTGCATATAATCAGTGACGTGAACTTAAATTATGATGTTTTCGAAAACACCGCATTGAAATAATTTTGAAAATGTCACTGTCTCTCAAAAACTTACTTCAACATGAAACAACACTTTTTTAGCGCAGCTTTAAATATCCTGTGATACGGTATCAATGTCAATGTTTCTGTGCTCAAAGGTATGTTGTGTACATTTTTTTTACAAAATAGGATATTTTAACACAATGCTCACGTCTCTTTGGAGGTATTGAGAATTGGTGTAGGTATTATGAAGGTTTGAGGGCAAACTCCAAAAGGCATTGATAACGAAGCTACAAGTAGCCAAAACACCTCCATGTGTAAGTACTTACATACGAATGGCATCCCTTTAAATTCCTCGCCGATAAAATTAAGTGAATACACGATGCTATATTCCTTTAAGGTACATTAGGATATGTGTCCAAGCGTCGTCCTCGAAATATGTCTTTTTTACATAGAAAGGAATAAACTATCTAGCAAAACTTTTAACCATTATTTCCATAGCAGCCTGAAACATGAAGATACAATATCTGATCATGTATCTATCAGTATGTTTCTAAAACGAAGAAAACTAGCGATCATTAAACAGTACATTCTTTCGCGAACTATTTGTCAGTTTCATGTCCTTATTATCGTAAAATTTGTTGAACCAATGCGAAATATTGGCACATTTGATTTCGGTTGCTCATTTATCGCGACAAGCGGCGGGCAACGTCACCCGCAGACCGTCCAATTGCCCAACACAATTGTGTGTGTGTGTGTGTGTGTGTGTGTGTGTGAAGGTTTTCAACCCGCTAAAAGATTTGTACGAGCTGGGATTTGAAGTTGAGGGCGTAGGTTTCTACGGAGAACGTCCTAACTATGCATTTCCAAATTCCCGCGGGTGTGTGTGTGTTGATTGATTGAATAATAGTGTTTCCATGCGCTTCAACTATCGATGTCATTATTCCCGTACGTGTAGTGCATGTTTTATCGGGATGTGGTGGTGGTAGTGGTGGTGATTATTCCCTCGCTTAATGGCGAGCTCTGACGCCGACCTACCGTCGGGTTTTGCCCAACCGGGTATCTCCCACCAGCGGGGCACCGCCCCAGCCTTACGCGGAAATGTTCTGACAGCTTTTCGGATGCGGCTCGCCGCGCTGCAGGCCCACGGAGCTGTGCTGCGGGCGTGGGCGTGGGGTGGGGTGGGGGCGCCGTGCGGAAATAGACGCGTCCAGTGCCCGCGTCCTCGCTAAATATAAGGCGCGCGCGGGGGCGGCGGCGGCGGCGGACCGGCTTCCGCGATGCGCCCCGCGGTCGGATCGGGGCCTCGCGTCACGCGCAGCCTGAAGATAAATACGTTATCAAGATTCATATTAAATTAATAAAGATTAATTCGGCTCTGCCGCAATGGAAATAATAATGATGATAATAATCATAATGATAATATTAATGATATTGAGGATAAAAATGATGATGATGATGATGGTCGAATGACCTAGATGTCGATGCGACCTTTGTAACATAATAATAATAATAATAATAATAATAATAGTAATAATAATAATAATAATAATCGTAATAACAATAACAACCTGGGTTATAAAAATGAAATCAACATTAATATGCAGATTCCCCCTATAGAAAAATTAATGTGCTCCGGCTTACCCCGATAATCAAGTTTGAGCCCCGGTGGGATGCACGTATCGGGTGGCTCCATGATGGCAGATTCGCGCTCTCTTGGTCATAAGGCGAATGCTGGGATGATTCCAAATCTCCCACGAACCCCTACCACCACCCTATCTCTTTAATAATAATAATAATAATAATAATAATAATAATAATAATAATAATACATTGATAGAATCCATCAGCAGGTTTTCCTTATCGATAAATCAATACCCAATACCCACAACATATCGGGAAAATATCAAGAGAAGATCCAGAAGTATACCGATCTCGCCCATGAAGTCGCATCTCAGTGCAACTTCAGTAAAGTGACAACTGTGCTTATAATAATATCAGCTACAGGAGTGATCCCAATAAGGATCTCAGGAGTGAATAATGTATAATAATAATAATAATAATAATAATAATAATAATAATAATAATAATAATATTCAGGCCCGTGGCGCAGGCCATTGCGGCACCCGTCGTTTGTACTTAGGAGGCTTCAGGTTCGAATCCTGGATAGGCATGGATGTAATTGTCCCTTCACTCCTCATTATCATCCTATCACCTCTTAGTTCATAATTCAAAGGCAACCATCTTGTCTGAATTAATCGATACCGCCGAAAAGGCTGTTCCTCATAGCGAATAAAGGCACGTTAATATGTCCGGGATAAATATGACAGCCTGAGCAAACATGGTGCGCGGTCGTGGTATATCAACGAAAAACATACTGTTTCCTTTTTCAGTATCACAATAGTCCACAATCTCATTTCGAAAAGGCAGCGTCGCGAAAAATGTTCGTTGCTATCATTCCGTATGCACATGTGGATTCATGATAACTAATAAAAGATTATCTTTACAATAATTCTTTTTAATTGTAATTATTAATTTGTTACGCTGTTTTGCACAACTAGTCTATCTAAAATGAATGCCTTATTCATGCTTATTTTAATAAAACTAAATGCCTTTTTGCCTGGCTATTTTATGTAAAATTTCTGATCTTCCGGGTTCTACTTGTAAGTGACGTTTGAAATGTACCAGCTTTTTGAAGAAATAAAATTCGGAATATATGTATTTTATATATGAATGAAAAGACATTGTAGTTGATTGCCCTGTTTTGAGGGAAATGATTATTAAGGAGTTAATGATACAGTTTCAACAATTGTTTTTTAACAATAAAGGAATAAGTCTTTCCAAAATGATTCAATCATATAGTGTTGCTGCGTTGTTTTTACGAAAAACAATATTTAATCACGCAAGGCTATGGGCCCCTTTATTATTTAAAATTATAAGGGCCCACCCACCTCCTCGTTCCACAGGCTATCTGCTTCCTCCCCATTCACCGGGAGAGGTGGCTCAGGGCATCCACTGATGTCACTGCAGTGCCTCTTATTGGAAGGTCCTATGTCTGAGTCCCGACGGTGGCAGAATTTTCTACGCTAACTTGTCAGCTGTTGCCTCGAGGAGACTTCTTGCTGCCCGCTGCTCTGATAGCTAGTTTTCCGTGATGTCTAAGATTAACGCCAAGTGAATGCCGGAGCAGTTATATATCATACGGGCCACGGACCACGCGCGTGTTTTGCTTCCCAACCCTTGTCCTATCCTGACCCTTTACTTACACACACACACGTACGTGCACTACAGCACCACACATGACGGGAGACCAGTCGGGAGCTTAGAGCTTGTTCCGGGTGGGGCGGTGCCCCGCAGGTGGGAGATACCTGGTTGGGGAAACTTCCGTAAGCCGACTGTAGGTCGGCGTCAGATCTCGCCATAGAGCTGGGGAAGATCACCCCACCATCCATCCGAGGTAACTACACGCACTAAACGTACGGGCTAATGACTTTGGCAGTTGACGCGCCTAGAATCACTAATATATCAATGTATTCTTCAGAGCTATACTCTGAAGAAGGCCACAGAAGTTGGCCGAATTGTCAGTACAATTGACCGAGACGCGGCTCAAACCGCATAGCCAAGAATACATTGCTTCCGGCCGCGGAAGCCTACGAACCCAACTAATAAATCAATCTCCCTGCATGCTATAGCCTGCGACTGTACTCCTCTGGGCGAAACCTACCCTAACTTCTTAATCAAGCTCCATGAAGTCACGAGAGATAGGCAGCTCGAGTCTCTGCGGGTCTCTGGATGGGTGACTCTCTGAAAACACTGAATACCAACAGCGTCTATCCCTTGGCCGGTACGAATACAAGGTAATGACTTACGACATAGGACTAAGTTCAAGAAGAATTATTCCACATTGAATGTCAAAATGAACTTGAAATGTTGTCATGCAAGTTAGAAATACGATGTGAAATGTGCATTTGTTGGTGCTTACCACGCACAGCAACTGTCACGCATTTTGTCGCCTGGAAGCTGGGCACTGGGCTTTGCAAGCCTTCTCTAGGCCAGGGGCCCTCACGCAAGCCCTTGACAGGCCTCTCGCGGGACTCGCCGTGATCCTCTGCGGTGCGTCGATGGTGCTGATCTGAAACAACGAAATAGTTTTGTGTTGAACCGTAGACGACAAAGTAATATCTAACGCCCGGAAATTTGGTAAAACGGCTTTTCCCTGTACCTCAAGCCCCATTGCTCCAAAATAATTCACCCCGCTTTCGTCATCGCTACCATTTGCTAACTGTATCATCACTCTTTGGACACCCGCAATATGCGGCAGGTTCACGTTTCGTCTCTCTCTGCAAATGGAGGCGTGATAACAGGCAGGACGTTTTATAGTCAGTTTCTACGGTCGGGAAATGTTCCAAATTGCTGGGAGAGAGCCAGACGATACCTATATTCTATATACATAATTCTCTACGCTGGTCTAATTGTTGTATACATTGTTATTGTTATGTATAATGTTATGTATACATTGTATACAATTGTTGCATACATTGACATATTCTAAAATAAGAATGCAACGTGTTTATGAGCAGGCCTGGCTGTAAAATTGATAGCTTGATTTTTTAGAGATTCCGAGCACGTCAACTGCTAAGGTCATTAGTCCCGGTAAAAGTGAATGTGTTTTTCTAGGGAGCTTACTGCCCTACCACTGTTTCATGAGAACCGGCGCCGATCTACACGTCTTCTTGCAGGGATTCTCCCCACCAGAAGGGGCACCGCCTCGCCCGGAACAAAGCCCGCCTCGAAGCTCACAACCGGTATCCCGGCACGCGTGCTTGTGTAGTGCGTGTTAGTGTAAATGCGTGTAAGTAGGAGGTGAGGATAGAGCAAAGAAGATGAAAGAAAGATCGCGCGCGGTCCGTGGCCCGTTTGGTAGGCATTCGCCAGTCGGTTTTCAGAGCAACCACGGAAAAGAGGAGCCGGCAGCTAGAATTCTCTTCCAGACACCAGTTGAATTCGAACTAGCTACGTCGAAAGCCCTGCGAGTATCGGGAGTCGAACCCTAGAACCTCCCGGTCAGAGACACTGCAGTTATATCCGTTGATGCCCTGAGCCATCTAAGCCGCTGGCTGTAAGAGTCTCTGGCTGGAGTGTGTGTGGCTGTGAGAGTGTGTGGGTGCGAGAGAACTCTGGAGATGTCACGAAGCTTTTATGCTTAGCGACGATTTCGATTTTTTGTAAAGTTCAATAATGGTGGAAAGAGCTGGATAGATCCTCCGGCGTAACGATTTTTGCTCACTGCGCAACATCAGATTGCGTCTCGAGCCACGTGATGCATTTCGGCATGGGCACTTCTTTGAAAAGCCGAACCAGACGGCTGCCATATTGCATGGACAGCGAGAACTGTTCAGAAATGTTTGAAAGTGACAGAATATATTAAACGGTGACTAACCAAAAATATCACGAAGATGTAATTTAAATAAAGTATGCATTATTAAAAAAAAGTGCTTCATATATCTGTAACAAGGTAACAATTGTAACAAGGTGACAATTTTGGCATTTAAAAGTCCTGCTAATATTGGGAGGCAAACTGGTGTCTGAAGCTCATTGGCTGAAGTCGCTTATGAAGCACAAGAGCCCTCCGCAAACTCTTTCCACCATGGACGAATCTAACACTTAAGGCGAGAAAAGGTTCTAATGAATAAATTCCGAAACTATGAACCATTAACGCATTACCAAAACAGAGATAGAGGCGAAAACTAGCAAAGACTCGTCCCTTAAACCCAAGGAGGAGGACTGCCAACGTCCCAGTTGCTATTCCTATTTTATTTATCTATTTATTTAACGCCAGAAACACTTAAAACTGTGTGATATTGTGTTACGGGGAGACGTGTATTCTATGCACATTTTCTGGAATTCTGGGATATTTACCCTAACCCATATACAAGTTGAATTCTGAATGCAGATGAAATGAGCATTGTTGGCAAGAATTTGTAAGACAAATGCGCTCCAGTCTAATAAAAAACTATTTGCAGAGGCAAAGAATCACGGGCCTTGAATGTACCCGAAAATGTGAAAGATTCCAATCATTATTCCTTGACCACGTATTTGTTTGACTTTTTGAGCGATAAAGAATGGTAAAATACTTTTGTGTGCACTGTGTTATCGTTTAATTTTCTGAATGTTTTAGACGAATAATCGTTGATGGCTACTCCCATGCGAAAACTCCGTACTTTTTTACTGATAGTTTTGAAAATGAAAATGTCTTAGTAGTAGCAGTAGTACCCAACTTGAAACAACCAGGACTGCTGCACAATATGGCCCCATACGGTGCGAGAGTATTCGTTCTAATAATGCTAAGATTTCAGATTAAATTACACAGAAAAGCAAAGAATTTTATCATGAAAGATCATTTCAATTTAAATGCATGTCGGGGTTCTGCCCTGTTCTGACCATACATAAAGTGGAAGCATCCTAAAGATATAAATCTCCATATTCTAAGTTAGAATGTAAGTTAAGTTTATAAAAATATTATTTGTTCTACTTGTTCGACATACAAATGTAATTCAAGCACGTGAACAATTACAATATTTTTACAATTCAATACTATATTCAATATTATATGCTAATACTATAATGTATTCATATATATCTATATATATATCTATATATATATATAGATATATAGATATATAGATATATAGATATATAGATATATAGATATATAGATATATAGATATAATGTTGGAATATTTAAAAGCGGTAAACTTCGACATCGTGCGACCAATCTCTATGAAAGTGGACATATATACGTGTTTTTTTTCACAGAGAAGGTTTATGTGCTGTTAATTTTGCTGTAACTTTAATAAATGGCGCTGCAGAACAAACTTGCGCTTCATTGTACTTTAAGTTAATAATATCTTTGTGGATTTTCTGGCATTGTAGAATAGATAAAAAAAATATACCCAGACTGGGAATCGAGCCTACCACTCCTCTAGTTCCGAAACAACACTTTGACACTGAGCCATTCATTCTCTTATAACAACATATTTATATTATCAAAACTGGAAACTGGAGAGAAATATTTATTAATTATTATATTATTATTATATTATCAAAACTGGAAAGCAACATTTCGTTTACAGAAATTAATATCAATTCAGTTTCATCGACAGGAATCACGGAATTGTTTTACGTTTGTACTACTACTATTCAGCTCTCAATAGACGTTATAATAGTTTATACGCTCACCAATCAAATATATTTCATCTTCATAGATCGATCTACAGAACGTAGTTTAGAAAAGAAACATTTGATATCGCTGTCGGCAGGCAGGAATGTTCATCGCCATCAACCTCTTGAGTCAAGGAATTTTCGACGAAAAAAAAAAATTGTTTCCTCAAGTGTACATTTACATTGAAGTCTTTCTGTCTGTGTAGTAAAACATTATCTTAGTATAAAATTACTGGATGCACTTAAAAATATTTGAACGACAAATTCCCCTGTCCTTCGTTAAAAACTTTTGAAAACGTTTTCACGAAAACATAATGAAACTCACCTCGTCCGATGTTTTTGTTAACTCGCTGCCCGGGCACTTCCTCAGAGAGGGAAATTCACAGCGCGGAATAACGCGGCTGCGCAGGGTTTGAAGGATCTCCGGTTTGTATCACGTGTCCAGCAATATCCAGCCGTGACGTCCACCGCCTATCGCGGTTCCCCACAACATCCGCCCACCCAGCCAAGTTATTTATTCCCAACTTCTTCCTTCGATTGCGCTCCCTTTCCTATTGTTATTGCTTCGTCGGGTGCAATAAAGTTTGTGTCACCATCATATCTCAGAAGAGGGGCGCAAATATTTAAATTCCGTGAACAAGATTTTTTCGGAAGTTTAATGATTGAACGGCAAACGGACAGACGTTTTGCCGTCAACCGATTTTTCGGTATGAAGAACCCACAGAATATGGATTCTGGTTACACCATATGTTAAAGGATTTTTTTCCAAATTGACATCTGGATTTATCGATTTTGTCGTTGCCAGGGTCCCGTAATAAGAGTTTTCTGCCGAAAATTCGCCATTTTTTCGTGCATCTTTAAACAATTTTCTCTTTACTGCGGAACGGGAGCGAGAAGGTGAAATTGAGATGAAATTTAGGGCCTATGATCACATTTTAACCCAGTGGTTTTCAAAATTAATTTTCGTTTTTTTAGGAAAATATTTAATAATTGCTTGTATTTTTTTCACCTTTTTTGTTCATATTTCTATTTATAAATCTTCACCTACATATGTTATTACAAACTCTGCGTTGAAATATGGAGAAGAGAACATTTGCAAATCTGTAAAAATTTCCGTGTATTGTATCCAGTAGATTTGAAGACAGAGGAAAATATCATTTGAAAAGTAAACTGACAGAAAACAACAATCATAGTTTCTGGTGCATTCCAGCATTGTAACTTAATCATCAGGGTCTTCATAATTTTTTTTCAATCTTCCTTTCTATGTTTCTTCTTCTTTCTCATTTCTTTGCTTCTATTTCTTTTAGAACTTTATTTGAAATTCTAATTCTCTCTTTATCAAGCGTTTCTTTCCATAACTACTAACCTTTGTGAATTCTTCAGTTGTTGGTGATAGTAAACTGCAGATGTGAAACAAAACTCTTCTTGGTGAAGATGGAGTTATAGCTAACAATTGAATTCCGTTCATCCTTTTCTTTAAAGCACGTTAAGTGATTTTAATCCTATTGTAAAGGATGATAGATTACTAAACGTAATTAAATCAAACCTTTAACTATGATTTAACTACACTTTTCACTTCAAAAGAGAAACATGCTCACTAAGCGCAGAACAACACAATGTAAACAATCACCCACAGAAACGTAGATTACATGTCCGAACTGCGCAGACAAATTATTAAAATCGTAAAAGTGTCCCCAACTTCGGAATTAGACATTTTGAATTCTACGGAGGAAACTCAAGATTAACAAAGCAAATTATTGATATAGCAGTTACTGCTGTCAGTGGCCCGAATATAGGGACGCCCCCTCTTTTCAAAAATAATTTTGAACACTTTAAAAGCTGCAAAGGCCAATAATTTATGTATAAAATTAAAGAGAAAAATGTAAATATTAATATGCCACCAAAAACCGAAAATCAAATATTTGATAATATTTTGCCTTTCCGGAGCTCCTTAATTATATCGCAAAGTAATATTTGTGTTTTCCTTCATTTCAATTTCTCATATTTCGGGTTTCTGCACGCGTAGTTTCAACAACTTTCTGAATGACACTGCACAAGACAAATTGTAAATCCGGAGATATCGGACGTTTCTGATCTCCCATGTTATGTAGTTAGAGTTCAAAAATATAATAAAAGATTTAAAAAGGTTTCGTTCTATAGAATGCAGCTTAAGAATCAATCTTGGCCTCAAATATCTCCCACATATCGCCACCGAAGCGCGCCTTTCTGCTTTCCTTCGTTTGCCCCCACCTATCCTGCCTCGTATCCACTGGTTTATGGCCAAGAATGCATATGTTTAGAGCTAAGCGCG